TTTTTTTTTTGAAATATAATCTTTGCCACACCCTCATCCATCCTCCCCACCGCTTGCACGTGAAATCCAGCCCCCCACTGGCTCAAGAATAACAGCAAATGGCATCATTGCCCAACTTGGTCTTTGAAAGAAAAAAAAAACAATAACTATTATGTCTTTCTCCCCTGAGCAGCGACGGCACGATGCAGATGGCAGAAAGGACGGAGGAGAGCTCGAGGCCATGGCTTTCGGATGGCGATGACGCGCGGGCGCTCCCGTGCCAGGGCTCCGCGCCGCATCCCGGGCTGAGCTCGCGCGCTGCAGCGCGAGCGCCCCGGCGGCCGAGGCAAGCGGGCCACGACCTCCCCACCCCTGAGCTCCGACTGCCAACCCGTGAAGAAATGGGGGCGACGACCCGGGACGAGGGTGGGCGCGCCCTTAAGGAACTTGGTGACTTTTGTTATCGCCGTCTGTGGGGACCGCGCGCCACCACCCCTTACCGCTTACCACAGCACTCTCAGGAACAGCTCGAAGGACCCAGGGAAAACCAAGTCGTCGCTGGCGATGGCCCAGCGACGGCCGAAGAGCACCATCCCCGGCATGGTGCCCCCGCCGCGCACGGCCTTAATCACCGGCGCGCGCACCACTTGCAGCCTGCAGCCCCCGAGTGCCTTCCAGACTTGGCCGGCAAACCCCCGGCGCCAGCCCGCGCAGGCGCACGTAAGAAGGTGAAGCTATGCGCGCATGCTCACTTTGGCCGGGCTAGGGCTCTTGCGCGCGTACGTACGCTCACTGGTCCCGCCCACGCTGTCACCTTCTGCGCGTGCGCGTTAGAAACCTTCCCCCCCCTCCCTTTTTTGCACACTGTGAAACAATTCTGGTGAGACTTGAGCTTTATAGATAAAGCCTCTAAAGGGGGGACTGCTGTCACAGGGCTACGAATGGCGGGTCTGGGGCTCATGCCTGGGGCTGACACTTCCAGAGGGCGACAAGATTCGTCTGCTAGGAATGGAGGAGCGAAACTCACAAAACACAGGGATGTGATAAATTACACAGGACTCCAGGCTTTCACACACAGTGAGACCAGAGGGGAGGAACACAAAGGCGCAATGTATATTTATCGAAACAAAGTCCAATGGAAACGAGGTTTTTCTTTATTCCTTTTTTTTTGGGGGGGGGTAAAAGGGGAAGCACAGAAATGGAGGGACAAAAGGTGAACACATGTAGCCATGGTACTCTGTAGATACTATGTTGAGAATGAACTATACAATCTGTGGGTGAGATGGGAAGGAAAAACTGGGGGGAGGGAGGGATGACATCGTCCAAAAGCACACTTGCTAACACTTCATCTTAATGGCAAAATATAGTTTCTAAGTCTTAAAGGTAAAATATGTTTGTTAAATCTTGAGTAAAACACCTCAATGCTTATAGTGTGTGTGTGTGTGTGTGTGTGTGTGTGTCTGTCTGTCTGTCTGTCTGTCCCAGTCCTGGGCTTGATTTGGGGTCTGGGGGCTTTTCCTGAGCTTTATTTGCTCAAGGCTGATGCTCTACCACCTGAGCCACTTCTGGATTTTTGCTGGCTAATTGGAGATAAGGGTCTGCCTGAGCTTGCTTCAAACTGTGATCCTCACATCTCAGCCTCCTCCTGAGTAGCTAGGATAACAGGTGTGAGCCAGTGGCATTGGGCTTGATGCTTAATATTGATTGAGAAAATTATTTTATTTGGGTTTTCTCCCATCCTGGCCTGAGCCTCTATCTTCTCTTGCCTATGTTGGTTTCCACAATGGCTCTTCCTCATCGCCCTACAGCACCCTGGGTGACACTGTTGAACTGTCAGGCCTGGTCTTATTTTGCCTAGGAATTGGTGTGTTCTTGGGCATAAAATATACTCCAAACCCTCTAAGAGACATTTCCCTGGCAGACTCACCTTAAAATTTTATAATTCTGGTTTTATCTATTAGGGTTACTACTGTCCTCCTCCTCTCTATTGCCTGTGCTGCTTCTCCTTCAAATACATCAAGCTCATTCTCAGAGTTTTTTTTTTTTTTTGTCGGTAGTGGGGCTTGAACTCTGGGCTTGGGCGCTGTCCCTGCGCTCTTCAGCTCAAGGCGAGTGCTCCACCGCTTGAGCCACAGCGCCACTTCGCCACTTCTGGTTTTCTAGTGGTTTATTGGAGATAAGAGTCGCATGGACTTTCTGCCTGGGCTGGCTTTGAATCACCATCCTCAGATCTCAGCCTTCTGAGTAGCTAGGATTGCAGGCATGAGCCACTGGCCCTGGGCTAATTCTCAGAGTTTTTACATTTCCTTCTTCCTCTGTTGGGAATATTACTTAGAAGTGTGTGTAGGGGGGGTTGTTTAGACAGGGTCTTACTGCATAGTCCAGACTGTCCTCAAACTCATGATCCTCCCACCTCAGCCTCCTGATTGCTGAGATTGCAAGTGTGTGCAGCCATACCCAACTCCCCTACACAAAGGAGATTCTTAACCTCTTCATTCAAGCCTGTGCTAATGTCACTGCTTCAGAGAGGCCTTTTATGATCACTTTATCTAAAACAGCACAGACTTTGGTTTTTCCTCCGTACTCTACTTTGGTTTCCTTTATTATACAGAACCACTTCTTAACACTATTGCTGGACCAAAGTTCAGCTACTAACCATGTGATAGGCCAGCTAAGTCCTGAGATAAGTGGGCTGTTTGAGAAGCTGGAAAACTCTAGTCACAAAGTCCTATCTTTTAGGGAAGCTGATCTAGGAGTGGTTTGTGTAGGTGGCTCTGGGTGTTTCCAGTGTACGTCTTTGCACTGTGAGTGGGCCTAAGCTACCCAGGAGGACTTTTTCAGTTCTGCAAATCTCAAGAATAAACATGTGGTTTCTTGGACCTATTTTTTTTTTACAGATTAGCTTGCCCACACATGTAGCTCCTGACTTATTACAGGTGGGACAGGCTAGAGGAGGTAGCTGCCTCAAATTCATGATGATTATGATGATGATGATATATTATATATAATATACATGGTTACACACACACACACACACACACACACACTTGCCAGACATAGTGGCTCATGCCTGTAATCTTAGCTACTCAGGAAACAGATCTGAGGATCGCAGTTCAAAGACAAACCTGGTAGACAAGTCCCCATGAGACTCTTATCTCCAATTAACCACTCAAAAACTGGAAGTGGAGCTGTGTCTCAAAGTGGTAGAGCACTAGACTTGAGCAAGAGCTCAAGGACAGAACCTAAACCCCAAGTTCAAGCTCCACAACTGACAAAGACCAAAAACCAAAACAATATACTTCACCTGGTTGATATGGAAAACAAGGGTCAGATGAGGAGTTGTGGGTGAGACTTGGTCTTACAGCTCAGCTTCAGTTCCTAACAATATTCCTTTGAATGTAAGCTTCGAGAGGGGAAGCAAGTTGCCTACCTGGCCTACTGCTTTTCCCATAATAAAACATACTATAGGTTACTAAACATGTGATGGATGAAAAATCTTATTAAACATATGGATAGAGTAGATAGAGTACTGGCGGCTTATGCCTGTAATCCTAATTGAGAGGCTGAGATCTGAGTTCAAAGCCAGACAGGCAGACAAATCCAAGACTCTCATCTGCAACTAATTAGCAAAAAGCTGGAAGTGGAGGTGTGGCTCAAGTGGTAGAGTGCCAGCCTTGAATGAAAAAGCCCAGCAAGAGCGTGAGGCCATGAGTTCAAGTGTGTGTGCGCACACACAGCCACCCACTAGTAGGTAGAAGGACTGAGAGGCTGGGAGTTGGAAAGAGG